CCCAACTTAAACCATTACTTAAGCCCCTGCACCTTTTGCAGGCACGCTTCCACAAGACTTGCAACTTCTGACTTTCGAAGCTCAGCTCCAAGTAAGCACAAACGATTGCATTCTACCCGGGACGGCTCGTCCGCCGGGTTGGAAGGCGACGGCACGCGTGCATACCACGGCACTATTGACCATTCGTATTCCTTCTGCAGCAATAGCTCCAAGATTCTTCGAGCGACAGAGGATCTGGCATTACCTGAGATCGCAGCGTCTCGGACACCATTGTTATCTACAAAGAGTATGGACGGGGAACCTCTAAGGTCCTCCCCCCACACATTCAGTGCGATGGCAAGTGCAAGCATCTCAGCGGGAAAAATTATTTGTGAAGAAACCTTCTCACCAAGGAAAACTTTCTGAGGTTCGCTTAACACAAAGGAGAAAAATTTTAAGGGAACGCCTTTAGGGTTCACGAGTACTCCCCCGAGTCCACAGAAGCTGCTCTTCGCCCCTGGCTCGTAAGAAGCATCGGTATACACTTTCCAGGCACCGCCCTCGATAATCTTGATCATCCGTGGAGCCTCAATCTCAAGCCTGAGAACAAACCTATGAAGTTCTGCTCTCAGCTCGTGGCCGATCTCCTCCACGAACGAAAAGGCATGAGCCGTGATCAAGCTCAGGCACTTCTTGCCCGTCCTGCCAAAAACTTGTGAGTCGGCAAATTGACATCTGCCCCTCAACCTTAGCGCCTCGTGGTGAGGAAGACGGCCTGAAGCTAGTACCTTATTTACAAAAGATTTGATTTCGGAAACTCTCCTTTCGGTGTTCTTGAAGTAAACCGTACCTCGAAGGACCGAACTTAAATCCACAACAATGCCCAAAGCTTGGAAGCACTGAGAAAACTCGTGAGATTTGTCCCCGGATTCGGCGAACGCCCACCCCAACAGGCGAAGCATTGCCGTGACCGAATGTTCTGCAGACTTAGCCCGACCAGCCGTTGCGAATGTAATGTAGTCGTCGAAAAACGACGACCAAGGCAACAAGAGCGCCTTGGTCCCGATGTACCAAAGCGAGTGACTTATCCTTAAGAAGGAATAAACAGCCATCGAGCTGCCAAACGGCATAGCCCTCATCCTGAAGTAAACTCTCTCAGAAGTGTCTGGATGAAGAAAGCAAATGTATGAAGCCCACGCCGAATCTGGGTGCACGGGCATTTGCCTGTAAGCCGAAGTAAGGTCAAACGCCTTTCCAAGCAGCACAAAAGCTTTCTTGCCAACTTGCCTTTCGATATGTTTCAAAAGTCTCTGACAAGTGGAAGCCACCACATCCGTGGACTGAGGTTGAGGCGCCTCGTATGCTTGCACCGCCAAGTTAACACCCGACGACGTTAGATTATCTATGCATCTTACTTTCGCGCCTTGTTGCAAGCCAAACCGCCTGCTGACTAAAATACCTTTGCCAAGGTCAGCCTCATGCAGAGGCCCTGCGATCCAGCCCGAGTCAAGCTCCTTTTTAGTTTTCTCGGCAACCTCTTTCATCAAGGCGGGTTCCTGGGGCTTTAAGGAATTATGAACCTTTTTCCGATAGAAAAGAAAATCTTCTCTAACCTGGCTGGGAGTCGCTTGCATGGGCTTAAACTTAGGCTTAAACACACCCGAAATCGGGGCATGCCCTGTGAGGGGGACTCCCTCTCTCAAAAGGCCAGACACCTTTTGATCGGGGTAGGAGTACTTTTTCAAGAGAGCCTCCCACAAGAGAATGCGTTTGCTCTTTGTGATCGAGCTGACATCAGGGTGCATAGATGCCTTCAGAGCATCTTCCTCTTTCGCCAAGGAAACTGCTAAGTGCATCCACTCTTTAATAACAGCAGCACGAAGGGTGGTTACCTCTGCATCATCCATGTTCTCCAAGGCATCAAGGGTTGCCTTAAGGGGTTGAGGTACTACTGAGTCCAATGTTCTAGGGTGCTTTGCAGCCTCCGCCTCTCTCATGAACTCTTCAGGCTCCCAGGGGATCCCCCAAGCCATTTCCCAGGAAGAAACCCTCATAGATTCATCACCCCCAGCTTGAGCGATTGGAACATGTCTGAGGAGTTGCGCTTTTGCAGGCACAGCCGTATGGGCTGAGCAGCACTCAGGCGGCACCTGCCACGACGTCTTAAGACGCTGCATGGGCTGACACGGTAGGTCCACGCCAGGCGGATGGCGAATGACCCAAACCTGCTTATGCTCTGACACGATCGGAGGCATCTTGCTGGCAGGAGGCTGGGCCCCTGCCACTGCACGCGCCATCGGAACCTCAAGGCGAGAGTCGAAAGCATCAAAACACAAAGGCGGCACCTGCCAACCCTTTTTCTTAAATACCTCAGCGAAGCAACATGCAACCTGCATGGCAAGGCGAATAGGATATGAAGTATGCTGGCCACAGCGACGGTCGACCTGACATGTTTGGCCTGGGCAAAAACGTCCAAGCTTTTCAAAGGTTCGGTCGGACGCAGCAAAGACAATGGATTTCAAGTGCTCGCCATCGTAAGCACATTCATGACAGGGGACGAAGGAAAAACTCGAAGAGACCTGCGCCCATGAAGAAGATTGCCAATAAATTGCATCGAAGGGATTACATATTACACAAGTGACACCTCTAGATAAAGCTTCTAACAGAAGCTCGGACAGGAAAGCATGTGCCGCATCTACATTCTGGCCTCGAACTGCTGGGGTGGCAAAAACTCCGGCCAACCTTGGTGATGCGAACCACTCGCGACATAGAGCCTGCCCACTGCGTGTGGACAGATCGGCAGGCAAACACGTTGTGACGGATGCCGAAGGGTTCACATCAACTCCGAAAGCCGAAAGGCCCAACTGTTTCATACAAGCGGTAATGCGACCGTTGCCCGAGAAAAACTCCAAGATCAAAGGATCATGCCACCGCACATCGTCATTGGAAGGATTCTGCTTGAAGGCCGTCTGTTCAGCAGGTTGCACGTTGGGGTTTAAAGAGTCAACGGAGTTGGACAAGCATGACAAAGGAAGCTCCAGTTGCACGTTGGGGTTCGAGGGGCAAGGCAAGTTTGAAGTCCCCGAGCAAGGCATTTGCCCGGTGGGGTCATCCGGCACCCCTTTAAATGACTTGGCTGGAAAACCTAGCCTTATGAGCTGCTCGCGAAATGCAGGTGACAAATCGGAGGCATGCTTAGGCTTGAAGGCAACTACTAAAACTCTATCCCCAACCCACGGTAGGGTGCAGTGTGTGCACCTGGGATTGAGGGTGCATGGGCCAGCAGCGACCGGCAGCAACGAGCCCACCAAGTCGTAGCCCAGCTCATCTTGCATCACATGAGAACCTGGCCCTTGCTGCCACACCTCGCCTCCTTCGAAGCTGGTGATCGGGATCAAGTAGTTGCAAGAATTCTCATCATTGTTGACATCAACATGCAAGGCTGTTTGGAGGTTCTTAAAAATTGCAACTGCAGTAAAGTCGGCATCTGGAAAAGACTGAAGCACAAGCCTACAAAGCAAGCGCGTACAGGCAGGAAAAGAACTTGAATGTTTCCTGAGGCCTCGTAGTGGACCCTTTGCATAAGCACCTGAAGTCCAGGAAAAAGTGTTTGGGCCAGCTTGGCCCCTACTTGGCAGCTCGCTGTCCAACAACGAAATCATGTGCAAAACATCATGAGGTGAGGCACCTACACGATTCAAGCAAAACTGCTCGGCCGGGGGCACTGCATCAACGGATTTTGACCCATGCAGTGTTGGCCGATTGGTGTCGGGCATCGGTTCATCAAAACCTCCAGCTGAAGGCTCAGCATCGGTAGCCGAGGCACCTCCACTGTCATCGGTCATAGTGGAGAGGGCCCCGGCAAGGGGCTCTTGTCACTTCGGCTTTTTCGGGCACTCTTGGATTCCATGCTCAGGCGAAAAGCACAAAGCGCACACATGCAAACCCTTTGGGCACGGATCAAGGGTACACCCACATGGCAAGTTTCTTGAGAAACAGATGCGCTTCTTATCCGGCGTCTGAGCATGCCCGCCCAGCTTCCGAATGCCCTCCGGTACACTAGGCTGCCACGTGGCCCTTTTACCTTTACCATTGCCCTTGCCTCCACCTCTGCTCGGGTCGCCCTTTGGGGTTTTCGTGTCACGATCCTGCGCAAACTTTTTCGGGGGTGCAGGCCTCTTCTTACTTTCTACAGCGGCGCGAGGCAGCAAGCAAACGGTCACTTCATAAGACTGAAGAGCAGGCACCAGTGCATCGTCAACGGGATGACGGCCGTCGGCACCCCGCTTGGCAGGAACCTCATCCTCAATCATCTTAGTCCAGACTTGCCTGTCAGCAGTCAGCAGTTGATGCACACTTGTCCTCGAATGCCCAGGTGGGGGCTCTCGCCCCATATGCGCAAACAGCTTCTGGATGTATCTCTCATGCGCCAAGAAAGAAGCTACCCCTGCAAATTGCAGGGCAACCCCACGCCTTTTCAGCGCCTCTTGAAGCAGTAATGCAGAGCCACACGCGACCTCAGGTAAACCCTTTTCTTCAGAGATGGCAAGCTTCCCTTCCTCCAGAGACAAGACTTTGCTCTGGGCTTTCACGTTCTGAATTTCATACATCCTTGTGCCACACTGCTCCGGGGCAATGTAGCGAAGCTGCCCCTCTCGTTCCATCCTGCAAGCTGCATTCAAGAGCCCATGGGAGGGCTCAAGCGGCCCCTCGACAACCACACCCGGTATGCTGGCCTTGACAGCCTCCATCCTTTTCTGGCGCTCCACGATCGGAACATCTTTAGTCGACCATTTATCAGGTTGTGTAACTTGCTCTCGCAAATCATTCAGCAGCAAGGCTTGGCTTTCGAACAGCAGCCGCTTGACACTCCCCTTCTCCCCCAGCAAGGCTGCCGGAATCAACGATGCAACGAAATCATCAAACTCTGTCTGAGGAAGAGGGGTTCCTGGCTGCCCGCACGAATAAGCAAGTTTGCTCAACGTGTCGATGCCATGATCAGCGAAGGCTCTGAGGGTCTCACGGCTCAGACCCACCTCGGTGCATCGCAACTTGAAGTGATGAGCACTTTCTACCAGAGACGACATGTTGAGCCCTAGCAGCTAGCAGCGGCAACAGCTCAATTCACAAAGTCAATCCACATGCAGAGACTCTCGACACTGCAAAAAAAACATCTGAGCACATTCACTCTGAGCACTTCGCTCTCCGATTTCATTTTTATCGGCGCGCACTCTGATGATGCGATCCTCTGGTGTGCACCTCGCACACGCTTTATACATTTCGCCGGCAAGTCCGGCACTCTGCACCTCTGCAAACCTCGTCCTTCGTGGCCTTTCTGTAATTCGTATTCACAGGCCGCCCACATGCGAGCACCATTGGCACATCCTCCGGATTTGCCAGGAGATGCAGCATCCCACTGACGGTGTGGACATACCACACCTGATCTGATGCTTCCACCTTGGCACGCCTCCACCGCTTGACCACGGGTGGTGCGTCTCCAGCATCGGACGAGGAAGAGGTCGACCCCGTCGACTCGCTCTCCGACGACTCCTGCTCACCAGGCACGGACTCGTCGCTGCTAGAAATCTCAATCTTGACGGGCTGGGGCTTCAGGCCTGCTTTACCGGCAGGCTCTTGCACAGGAATGGACTTAAGTTTCGCCTGGCTCGGGAAGTAGCTGGAGCGGCTGTTATCCGGGAAGAACCTGCCCTCAGCAATTTCACGAATCATGTCTTGCAGCTTCCGCGCGGGAGCTGCTGCAAGCTCTCGGCTGTAAATCGCCTGCGTCGTCTTGATTGAAGAAGAGTGACGCCCTAAGACACTTTTCAAGTCCTCATCAAAACCGAATTTGCCACCCCAACCCAAGCAAGTCCCTCGCAAGGAATAGGCGGTGACCCTCGACACAGTTGGGTCAGGGTTTTCTTCAGGCACACCGAGGAAAGCCCGAAGAGCGCGGCCTACTTCTGCAGACGAAACTGACCGCCTGGAGTGCACAGTGCCTGACTCGTCCGAAGGCGCAAGGGTCAGTGGGCCTCGGACTGAAGTCAAAATCCTCCCGGCATCAGCGAAGGCTCTGATGGCTTCACCAGCCCAGCACTTGCCATTCACACCTATCATGGGCACCAGGATTGGCAGCAACCTCGACTTCAGCTGAACCTTCCGGGCACCTTTATGCTGGGAAACCTCAAACACAAGCAGCGGATACTCCGCACCTGCAGGACAATCTATCTCCACAGACTCGATGAAGAGAAAATCGCTCGGCCTCGCCCTTGCATAAAGTCTAATCAGCAGAGAAGCGAGGAAGGCCCTGTCGAAAGCATGAAGAGCGCCGGACTCCAGCCGCGCATGCAACTCAAGCACCTGTGCAACCGTAAGGTCCTTCGCCTGTCGGAGCTTTCGTAGGCTCACAAGCTGCTGCTCGGTGGCACCTTTAATCCTCTTGGACTCAATGACGCTCTCAACTTTAAACCCAAGCACGAAATGAGCAAACCTGAATGCACTCAGCACTGCAGCCGCCTTCGAAGCAGGCGCTTCAGTCCTCTTAAGGTATTGTACGAAGTTCCAGACCTGAATCTCGTGCAGTCGGCTCGAGGAGAGGGGTTCATGAACATCCAACCATCTGACAAAAGCCCAGAAGGATGCAGCACGCTTGTGGATGGTGTGGGGAGACTTTACTCCTACAGCCGCAGCAACTGCGGAAGAAACACATGAGGAGATTTCCGACTCCGGTTCCATGCCTTCCACCACACAATCATAAAGCGAGCAAAATTCCGAGAACCTGACGACAAGTTGGCTCCACATGCTAACTCCCTGGTCAAGCTTTCTTTCTCTTTCTGCAGCCGGATCTCTAGCAGCTGCCCCCAAAGAAATAGCCCAGGCAAAAACTGCCCCGGGCCGTGATTCTTTAGTCACGGCTTTTGTCGGCCTCTCCGACGGTGCAGCAGCGGACAGTGGCGGGATCACAGATTCTTGCTTGAACCCTTGCAAGGGGTCCCACTCACAATCTGGATCAAGAAGCCTCCTAGCGAAGTCATTTTCCCAAGGGAGCTTCTGGTCGCTGCACACCGACCCATACCTTGCAACATCGCCCTTCACCAAGCTTCCCACAAAAGAACCCAAGGCATCGTGAGCATGTGCCTGCTGCAAAGTGAAGTCAGCTCGCTCCGAACGGCTGCGACTGCTGCCTACCTCCTGGCCTTCCTCAAGAAGCACGGCAAAATCATCCCCATGGGCCCCGGCAGGCCCATGCTCTCGAGATCCCCATGAAGGGTCCGGCGAGCATCGCCCATCACTGCCAAGGCTATCGCAAAGTGAACCCTGAGCCTCAACTTCTGAAGAAAGACCAGGAACAACATAGGCATCCTCCCAATCCTCTGGGAACTCGGGTTCAGGCAATGCCACCTCTCGGCCCGCTTCGAAACTCGACATGTTGAGAAAATTTCGCTCTGCTTGAGCACACGACTGCACGTGAATTCAAGATTGATTCAAGGCATGGAAGGACTGCTGAATGCAGGTCACTTCAAGCACTTCGCGAGAATAATTTTCAAGAAAAGCAACTAAGAATCATGCAACTTTCGTAAAGCATTTTTCTTAAGTTTTTGTCCAAGGCGGCCCTCTCGGGGGGCCTTCGTCCGACTCAAG